TCAGGCTGGTCTTGAACTCCTGACCTCATGATCCACCCACCTTGGCCTCCCAAAGTGCTGGGATTACAGGCGTGAGCCACTGTGCCCAGCCACATTTATTTTTTTAAGGGAGAGAGAAGTCACACATATCTCTGAGAAACTGATGAAAGGTATAAATGTCTTAGTAGGGAAAATAGATATAAACACACAAAATTTTGCATAAATTAATTTTATTGCATTCAAAATTTATTTTGTGTATATTATAAATAGAACATAAAAATTAAGTCTCTCACATTTATTTTTCTTGAAACAATAATGGCCTCACTGTGAAAAATAGAAACAAATTTCAAATTCTGCTGAGTAAATTTCATTCAGACATTTCTCTGATCTGGGAATAACCACTGATGTACAACAATATTTATGCTATTTATATATTTAAATATTATAATACCTATAGTTTCCAAAATTCTTACTATGATCTAGGTACTATGCTAAAAACTTAGGGCAAATCCCAGTTTTGTCAGAAGCCCAGCCTTTTCACATTGGGCGTTCTTCATAGGAAAGCACAAGGAGTAAAGCTTTTGGGCCCCTTCACTCGTGATGATGAATGTAAAATGAACACACAATTAATCTTTATTATATTTCTTTCCATCGACATTTTCCAACTGGCGCTAAGCCCGATATAATCATAGACAGATGTCCATGATCATAATGGTAGAAAATGTTTTCTTTAACTCCTCTCAAAATGAGAGTATCTTAATCTCAAAACACATGAACAGTGCCTTACTTGACCATATTCTACACCTCTCCCGGCTCATAGGATTTCCTGCTGTTTACCACCCGGACTGTTTTTTTATTTACCCCCACTTCTCTCCAGATATTCTTTTTTTTTTTTTTTTTTTTTTTAAAAGAGGGAGTTTCGTTCTTGTTACCCAGGCTGGAGTGCAATGGCGCGATGTCGGCTCACCGCAACCTCCGCCTCCTGGGTTCAGGCAATTCTCCTGCCTCAGCCTCCTGAGAGCTGGGATTACAGGCACACGCCACCATGCCCAGCTAATTTTTTGTATTTTTAGTAGAGACGGGGTTTCACCATGTTGACCAGGATGGTCTCGATCTCTTGACCTCGTGATCCACCCGCCTCGGCCTCCCAAAGTGCTGGGATTACAGGCTTGAGCCACCGCGCCCGGCCCTCTCCAGATATTCTAACCTTCATTCTCTACCACGGGATACCCCTGTTCCCCAGTCCTGCGAGAGACTTAAGGATGTTGAAATATTCCCAGTCCCCAAGGTCTGACTTCATAGCATTGATAATTGTGATTTTATTTTATTTTTTGAGATGGAGTCTAGCTCTGTCCGCAGGCTGGAATGCGGTGGCCTGATCTCGGCTCGCTGCAACCTCCGCCGCTTGGGTTCAAGTAGCTGGGACTACAGGCGCCCGCCACCGCGCCCAACTGATTTTTGTATTTTTAGTAGAGATGGGGTTTCACCGTGTTGGCCAGGCTGGTCTCGAACTATTGACCTCAAGTAGCCTCAGCCTCCCAAAGTGCTGGGATTACAGGTGTGAGCCACTGCGCCTGGCCTGATAATTCTTACACTGTGGAAAATATGGGTTGTTGTGAAAGGTCAATGAGAGTTTATTGTTTGTCAAAGAATAATCTGACCATAGATACTTGGGTTTAATTTCACTCAATTCCAGTACTTCTTCCAGAGGCAAACTCAACAAATCTAACTCATGTGACCGTTCCTGGAGGATACTTGCATTTGGGTTTAAAAAAAAAAAAGTTCAGAGCAGTGTTTTCTGGAGGGAGAAAGTTGGGTTTTACGCAGCTGCAGTGTTCTTTTGTCTTAATCCTGGTATTGTAAATGTCTCTTCTGCTCCTTAACCTGTTTCCCTTCTTCCTTCCTCACAGAATCACCCCCTAAATTAAAAAAAAATGTCTATGAAAGAGAAGGGTTTTAAAAATAAATTTATTCCAATTTGGCTATGTAATTGATTGAGGTGCATGGATTATTTTAACATCTGAATCACTGTTGTTTAAAGTGTTGATTCCATTTTACAAGTCATTTTCTTAAACTAAGGGGCTAGAATCTTGGCTTAGTGGATTATTTCTCGATTTCCAGGTATTAAATATTCGTACTTGAAAGTTTGGATATGTCCCCGCCTGTGGTTCCTCGATGACCCACATATTGAAGATCTAACATGGAATATAGTGTTTAAAGTGGGTACTTGAGAATATAGAGGCAAATGTAACAGAGTAGGGGAAAGAAAACTCTGGAGCCAGACTGCTTGTCTTTAGATCCCAATGATGCCACTCACTAGCTTTGAGCAAATTATTAACTTTGAGCAAATTATTCATTTCTGAGCCTCAGTTTTCTTTTTTTTTTTTTTTTTTGAGACGGAGTTTCGCTCTTGTTACCCAGGCTGGAGTGCAATGGCGCGATCTTGGCTCACTGCAACCTCTGCCTCCTGGGTTCAGGCAATTCTCCTGCCTCAACCTCCTGAGTAGCTGGGATTACAGGCACGCGCCACCATGCCCAGCTAATTTTTGTATTTTTAGTAGAGGCGGGGTTTCACCATGTTGACCAGGATGGTCTCAATCTGTTGACCTCGTGATCCACCCGCCTCGGCCTCCCAAAGTGCTGGGATTACAGGCTTGAGCCACCGCGCCCGGCCTGAGCCTCAGTTTTCTAACCTATTACAGGCATAATTGTAAACCCTATCTTATAGGGCTGATATGAGGCTTAAATGAGTCAATATATGAAAAAGTTTAAGATAATGTCTAGTTCCTTGTAAGTACTCAATAATCGTTGGCTACTATCCTGGAGGTATTTTTAGATAATTCAGTGCAGAGCATAGCTTTCTCCACTCCCTGATTTATACCCTGAATAGATACCATTGACCTAGATTGGACCTTTGGATTGAGACTCAAATTAGCAATCCAAAAATTTACAATAGGTTTAATCATTAAGTTCAATTGACTAGCACAAAACAGAAACAGAAACAGTTCCAAGAACTGCCGCATCTTCCTGCATTTGCCTTTCAAACGTATGCTACACCACACCATCAGGGGAAATGTTTATTAAAATGTTTAGCCATGCGTATATTTTAAAGCATAATAAGAATTCAAAGTATTATACTTCTTATTTCAAAGTATAATAAGAATTAACAAAGGGAAAAATATTTAACCAGTTTATTGAAATATTAACCAGGTAGTTAATACTGGACAAACTTTACCTTAAATAAAGATTATACTTTATGTATTTTATTGGTATAAATCTTTCAGGGTTTTTAACCAGAATAAACTTTCCTAAACATTGTCCTCTCATTTAAGAGTTGCCTTTATCATCACCAAATTATTTCAAATTAGGACAAATGAGAGATGCCTGGATTTTAAAGCCCAAAAGGCTAAGCCAGGTACTAGAAAGGATCTGCAGATGAAATTTCTTAGACTAAGGAAATATATTTTTATTTTCTCACTTATTAAAACCGAACTTTTCAAAATAGACTCTGATTTTGTCTGGTTTAGGAGAAGAAATTAGTATTTTCTACTTGGAATCTTTAGTATTATTTTATGCTACTCTCCCAAGCAGCCTGCGTGCGTGTTGTATGTGTTTTATATTTAAACTTCCAAGATGTGTAGTAAAAGCATTGAAAAGCATTGAAAATAGGGCTAATAGGCTAATAATTCTAGAAATATTACTTTGTACAATTTAAAAGAATATAGAAAAAGTCATTATTATGCTGGTGTTACAAAAGAAAAATATTGCTGTTAAATATGTTCCAAAATATGGGGTCTCAAATAAAATGAAGCTGATGCTGCTTGTCCCAATCAGTGGGAAAGACAGGCCCTGTGAGGAGGGAGCAGAGGCACTCAGTCAGTTACAAGGAGATCTAGTCTATTACCTGCTCTGCTCCAATTACTGATCTGGAAGAAATCACTCAGCCTTTATGTAGAATGAGGGGTTTGGGTTGGTGAATAACGAATGTCACTTTTTTTCAAGGTCATAATTCTAAAACTGGTTATATGATATGATAAGCCATTTAATCTTTCCGAGTCTGACTTCCTTTATGTAAAAATACAGTCTTAAAGATACCAGTACGATTTTTGCCGTATTTCGTGGATAATTTAGGTATTTCAGAGGCTAGAGTCTTGAAGTGCGTAGCACAAGTTGTTAACCATGTGATTGTGACAGAGGAGTTGTTAGTTCAGCTTCGACTAGATATCCTCAACCAAGATACAAACGGCAAAGAAGACAGTCAGCAAACATTAGTTGGGTACCTGCTATTCAACGGTACCGTGCGAGGATTTGGAGATATGGATCAAGACCCTTGTTCTAAAAATTGGCAAATTATTTCTTAACTTTAAGAAGTGACTCTTGACTTACAGCAAAAAGGCAGAATTAGTAGACATGGATAGATCTCCTTCTTGTTTACAAACATAGAAGTTATAAATAAAATATGACAAAATTCATATATGCAAGTAGGCTTTCGTTCTTGAAGAAAAATCACAGGTGGCAGAAATAAAGAGTAAATCTATACTTATGAGGGTGAGCAGGCACTGGTGTAATTTCAGCGCATTCATGGGACAGGAGGCATGATTTCTGTGCTGGTGACACAAGGGAGCTGGACCTGAGCCACCAGCATAATACCTAAACCTTAAGGAGTAGGATCAACCAAGAAAAGGAGTTTAGAAAAATCCTACTCACTAGTCCAAATAAGCATTCAATAACACTATCATCTGTTCAGGGCCATGAGTAAGGAAAAAAAAAAAGTCACTACCAGTAATCGAAACCCCAGGCTTTACAATCTAAATTAGTCCTACTGTACAGTACAGAAATCTCCAGTTAAAAATCATCCTAAAAATAGGCTGGGCATGGTGGCTCACAGCTGTAATTCCAGCACTTTGGGAGGCTGAGGCGGGCAGATCGCCTGAGGCTGGGAGTTAGAGGCCAGTCTGACCAACATGAGGAAGCCCTGTCTCTACTAAAAATACAACTGGTGTGGTGGCGCATGCTGCAATCCCAGCTACTCGGGAAGCTGAGGCAGGAGAATTGCTTGAACCCAGGAGGTGGAGGTTGCGGTGAGCTGAGATTGCATCATTGCACTCCAGCCTTAGCAACAAGAGTGAAGCTGTCTCAAAAAAAGAAAAAAATAATAATCCTAAAACTAGTTTAAGATTACTACTGATGGTACCCCAGGATCATAAAATAAGTAATCATGAAATTTTCCTGTAGAAATATTTTCACAAACAAGACCCATAAAAGTCTCACAGAAGAATAATAAATAAGATAAAGATGAGTTTACAGTCCAAAATTACATGTGAACCATGATGCTGGAGAGACATCAGATGTGATCAAAAGGATGAACCCTCCCAGAATTGGATATAACAAAACAATCTGAAAGAGAATATAAAATACTTTTAACAAGATTAAACATTTAAAATATAGGAGAAAAATAAACCAAAGAAAAATATAGTATTTTTAAAAAGAATAGAAGTATTTGAAAAAGAACCAAATAGTACTTTTAAAATGGAAAATATTATAATAATAAAAAAATAAGTGATTTAAAAGGAAATTAGAAATCAGTAAGGTAGTGAGCATGGTGATTCATGCCTGTAATCCCAGCATTTAGGGGCTGAGGCTGGAGTGTCACTTGAAGCCAAGAGTTTGAGACCAGCCTTGGCATCTCTACAAAACACAAAATATTATTTAAAAAATAACCAGGCATGGTGGCACCTGCCTGTAATCTCAGCTACTTGGGAGACTGAGGCAGAAGAACCTCTTGAGCCAGAAGATGGAGGCTACAGCGAGCTGGGATCACACCTCTGCACTCCAACCTGGGTGACAGAGGGAGACCCTGTCTCTACAAAGCAAACAAACATACCAAAAAAGCACCCCCCTCAACCCTAATAAAGAGAAAACTAGGGAATGCAAAAGAAAACTAGGAAACTGTAATTCAGCATAGTAATATAAAGAAATGTTAACAGTAATGAGATTAAGAAACTTGATGTATAGAAGGCTAAAGCCCAGCAGGGTCTACCAGACATTTCAGAAGATAATAGAATATATGGGAGAAGTAACTCTTAAAGAAGTAATAACTGAAAAGTTTTCTCAATTGAAGAATGACTTTTCAAGTAGGAAAAGCAAAAACAAACCACATCAAGGTAAAATTGCAGTACATCAGATAAAGAAAATTTAAAAGACGTTTATAGAAAAAAGCCTCCCCCAAAATAAATAAAAATTGGGAAGTAATATTTTCAAAGTGTTGTCAACCCAGAATTTCATCCTTATCAAACTGAAAATCAACAGTGAGGGAAAACTGAAAGCATTTTCAGATAAACACTGGAGAATCTGTGACTCAGAGACTCTGGCTGAAAGAATTATTAAATCATATACATCAAAAAGCAAGAAACTGAATGCAGAAAGAAGGAATGCGATACAGACACGCCTTGTTTTATTGCACATCATAGATATTGTGTTTTTTTACAACCTGAAGCTTTGTAGCAACTCCGTGTCAGGCAGGTCTGTTGGTTCCATTTTTCCAACAGCATGGGCTCACGTCCCATCTCTGTGTCAGTCACATTTTGATAATTCTCACAATATCTAAAACCTTTTCATTATTGGCGTTTCTGTTACGGTGACCTGTGATCCTGATCTTTGATGTTACTATTGCAATTGTTTTTGGGTGCTGTGACCCATGTCCGTGTAAGATGGCAAACATAATCAATAAATGTTGTATGTGTTCTGACTGCTCTACAGACCGGCAAATCCCTCAACTCTCATACTCTTCCCAGGCCTTCCTGTTCCCCAAGACACAGCATCGTTGAAATTAGGCCAATTAATAATCCCGCAATGGCTTCTAAGCATTCAAGTGAAAGGAAGAGTTGGGTGTCTCTCACTTGGAATCCAAAGCTAGAAATGATTAAGCTTAGTGAAGAAGGCGTGTGAAAGTTGAGAAAAGCAGAAAGCTAAGGTCTTGTGCTAGTTAGCCAAATTGTGATTGCAAAGGAAAAGTTATTCAAGGAAATTAAAAATGCTATTCCAGTGAGCGCCTGAATGGTTAGAAAATGGAAGTCTTTTTGCTGATATGAAGAAAATTTGAGGGGTCTAGATGGAAGATCAAACCAGCCACAATGTTCCCTTAAGTTAAAACCTAATCCAGAGCAAGGCTCTAACTTGTTTCAATTCTTTGGAGGCTGAGAGAGTTGAGAAAGCTACAGAAGAAAAGTTGGAATCTAGCAGAGATTGGTTTATGAAGTTTAGCAAAAGAAGCCATCTCCATAACATAAGGGCAAAGGAAAGCAGCAAGTTATTCAGAAGATGTAGATATGACAAATGATGAAGATGGCGAAACTAAACAACACATATTCGGGGTATAAAGCAGCTGCTACCGGAAGAAGATGCCATCTAGGACTTTCATAGCTAGAGAGGAGAAGTCAACATCTGGCTTCAAAGGACAAGCTCTCTTGTTAGCAGCTGATACTGCTGGTGACCTAAAGTTGAAGCCAGTGTTCATTCACTGGTGGTTTAGGGATAAAAGTGTTCCACTTCATCGGGTATTAGATTCTCATAAGGAGCTTATGAGACACTTTGCATGCACAGTTCATGTTAGGGTTTGTGCTCGTATGATAATCTAATGCTGCTGATCTGACAGGAGGCGAAGTTCGGAAGATAACACTTACTCGCCCCTGGCTCACCTCCTCCCATGTGGCCTGGTTCTTAACAAACCATGGGCTGGTACCCGGGGTTGAGGATCCCTGTTCTAGAGTTTTATAGTTTTGCATTTTACATTAGACCTATGATTCATTTGAGATAATTTTTGTGAAAGATGCAAGTCTATCTCTAGATGATGATGATGATGATAATGATGATGATTTTTTGCATATGGCTGTCCAGTCATTCCAGCAACATTTGTTGAAAAGACTATCCTTTCTCCATTGAATTTCCCTTACTTCTTTGTTGAGGAGCAGTTGACTATATTTGTGTGGGTTTATTTATGGAGGCTCTAATCTATTCTAATCTATTTCTCTATTCTAGTGGGGTGTGAAATGATATTTCTGTGGCTTTAATTTGCATTTCTCTGATGATTAAGATGCTGAGTTATTTTCAAGTGTTTCTTGCCTATTCACATCTTATTAAATGTCTGTTCAAGTCTTTTGCCCACTTTAAAAAAAGTGATCTGCTTAGATTCTTATTATTAATGTGTATTCTTTACAATTTACAAATTACAATTCTAATCTACAATTAGATTTACAACCCTGATTTACACTTTTGGATACAATTCCTTTGTCAGATATATGTAACACAAACATTTTCTCCCAGCCTGTGTCTTCCATTTTTATTGTTTTCTTTTTCTTTCTTTTTTTTTTTTTTGAGATGGAGTCTTACTCTGTTGCCCAGGCTGGAGTGCAGTGGCATGATCTCGGCTCACTGCAACCTCTGCCTCCCAGGTTCAAGTGATCCTCTTCCCTCAGCCTCCCGAGTAGCTGGAAATGCGGGCATGCACCACCACACCCAGCTAATTTTTGTATATACGTATATATATATATATACATATATTTGGTAGAGACAGGGTTTCACCATGATCGTCAGGCTGGTCTTGAACTCCTGATCTGAGGTAATCCACAGTCTTGGTCTCCCAAAAGGCTGGGATTACCAACAGGAGCCACCATGTCTGGCCTGTTTTTATCTTCCTAACAGTGTCTTTGATGACAGCAATTTTTAACTTGACTAAGGCTAATTATTGATTTTTTTTTTCTTTTATGCTTAGTGCTTTTGGGTCCTTTTCTATATACAAAAAAATTTTTTGGGGCTGGGCGCGGTGGCTCACGCCTGTAATCCCAGCACTTTGGGAGACCGAGGCGGGTGGATCACGAGGTCAAGAGATCAAGACCATCCTGGTCAACATGGTGAAACCCCGTCTCTACTAAAAATACAAAAAATTAGCTGGGCATGGTGGTGCGTGCCTGTAATCCCAGCGAATCAGGAGGCTGGGGCAGGAGAATTGCCTGAACCCAGGAGGCGGAGGTTGCGGTGAGTCGAGATGGCGCCATTGCACTCCAGCCTGGGTAACAAGAGCGAAACTCCATCTCAAAAAAAAAAAAAAAATTTTTTTTTGGCCCAAAATTGCAAATTATTCTCCTATGTTTTCTTTGAGAAGCATTTTAGTTTTAGCTTTCTGATTTTAGGAATACAGTCCACCTGAGATTGAGTTTTGAGGGTGATTTGTTTAATCAGATTATCTAGCACCATTTGTTGAAAAAATTTTCCTTTCTCAATTGAATTGCCTTGGTACGTCTTTAAAAAGATAACAAAACATATATGTTTTAATTATTTCTAACTTTTTATTCTACTTCACTGATACATTTGTCTGTTTATACTGATTCCATTCTGTCTTGATTGCTATGGCTTTATTGTAAGTCATATGCTCAGTAATGTGAGCCATCCAAATCTGTTCTTTTTTCCTATCTTTAAAAAAAATTTTTATTTAACTTTAAGTTGCGGGACACAAGTGCAGAATGTGAGGTTTGTTACGTAGGTATATGTGTGCCATGGTGGTTTGCTGCACCTATCAACCTGTCATCTAGGTTTTAAGACCCACATGCATTAGCCATTTGTCCTAATGCCCTCCTTCCACTTTCCCCTACTCCCCAATAGGCCCCAGTGTGTGTTGTTCCCCTTCCTGTGTCCATGTGTTCTCACTGTTCAACTGCCACTTATAAATGACAACACGTGGTGTTTGGTTTTCTATTCCTGTGTTTGGTTGCTGAGTATGATGGCTTCCAACTTCATCTATGTACCTGCAATGAACATTCTCTCATTCCTTTTTATGGCTGCATAGTATTCCTTGGTGTATATGCTCACATTTTCTTTATCCAGTCTAACATTTGTGGGCATTTGGGTTGGTTCCATGTCTTTGCTATTGTAAATAGTGCTGCAATAAACATACATGTGCATGTGTCTTTATAGTAGAATGATTTATATTCCTTTGGATATATACCCAGTAATGGGATTGTTGGGCCACATGGTATTTCTGGTTCTAGATCCTTGAGGAATTGCCACACTGTCTTTTAGAATAGTTGAACTAATTTTCACTCCCACCAACCAGTGTAAGAGCGTTCTTAATTCTCCACAGCTTTGCCAGCATCTGTTGTTTCTTGACTTTTTAATAATCACCATTTTGACTGGTGTGAGATATCTCTTTGTAGTTTTGATTTGCATTTGCATTTGCATTTTGCTAACAATAAATGTGATGTTGAGCTTTTTTTCATCTGTTTGTTGGCTGCATAAATGTCTTTTCAGAATTGTCTGTTCATATCTTTTGCTCACTCTTTGATAGGGTTGCTTTCTTTCTTATAAATTTGTTTAAGTTCCTTGTAGATTCTGTATATTAAATCTTTGCAATGAAGAGATTGCAAAAAATTTCTCCCATTCCGTAGGTTGCCTGTTCACTCTGATGATCATTTCTTTTGCTGAGCAGAAGCTCTTTAGTTTGATTTGATCCCATTTGTCAATCTTGGCTTCTGTTGCAATTGCTTTTGGCGTTTTTGTCATGAAGTCTTTTCAATGGTATTGCCTACGTTTTCTTCTAGGGTTTTTTATGGTTTTGGGTTTTACATTTAAGTCTTTAATCCATCTTGAGTTAATTTTTGTATAAGGTGTAAGGAAGGGGTCCAGTTTCAATTTTCTGCATATGGCTAGCCACTTTTCACAGCACAATTTATTAAATAGGGAATCCTTTCCCTAATTATTGATTTTGTCAGGGTTGTTGAAGATCAGATGGGTGTAGATGTGTGGTGTTATTTCTGAGGTTTCCATCTGTTACATTGGCTTATGTATCTGTTTTGGTACCAGTACCATGCTGTTTTGATTATTGTAG